TGTTAAAGGAGACCGACTGCTAGTCTGTATGACATCGTTTCAAGGTTACCCGAGTTAAGTGTATGTTCAAAGTCACTCACTTCTTATTTCTGTTCACGGTAATCAAATGTTGTATTACTGTTTAAAGCAACACATTTCTACTGTATAATCAAAGTAACTCAATTCTAATTTCTGTTCAAGGTAACCCACTTCTACTGTCTGTTCAATGTATTAAACCCGCTTTAACTGTCTATACAACTTAACTCACGCTTATAATGTTAAAATAAAATGTTTTCTTATGTTCAAGGTATCCCGCTTTACTGCCTTGCCTTATGACCAGCTTCTACTGTCTGTTCAAAGCATCAAACCCATGTTACTGTCTATCCAATGTATCGCACACTTATAATGTTCAAACTAATCAACATTTTCTTGTGTTCAAGTACACACTTTATTGTTTAAGATAACCTACTTTTCTTATGACCAAGGTAACCCGCTTCTACTGTCTGTTCAAGATATTAAACCCCCTTTTACTGTCTTTTCAATGTTTTAAACCCTTTTACTCTCTATTTAAGGTAACGAACTCACTCTTATAATGTTAAATATAACCTACTTTTCTTATGTTCAAGGTATCCCGCTTTCTTGTTTATCGTTTTGACATACACATGCATACCTAATCTGGTTACTACATGTGAAATACATGCCCTAGAAAACGTGTTCAAAGGAAAAGGCCAAAGGTCCAAGCATTGCACTTGACACTCTACCATTCCAAGATGTACTTGCATACCAAATCAGGTTACTCCAGATGAAAAAGTACAGACTAGATATGTCCTGGGCAAACGTTTTTGAGAGTTAAGGTCAAAGGTCAAATCAAAGGTCACAGTGACTAACTTTTTATACTTGACACTCCACCATCCCAAGATGTACTTGCATACCAAATCTGATTACTCCAGATAAAAGAATATAGAAGAACTCTTCCGATGGAAAGACCGGCAGAGTGCAGACCTAAAGTCCCCTCTGGGAACCATTCGGGGACAGATAGCCAACTACTGAATCTAGGTCGACATAACTATGTAGATATTGGTGCTGTCTAGTGTTTGTCGCTTAGCAGACCAGAGCACAGCTATTTGGTTATAATTTAATCTTGCTTGTAACAAGCATTTTCATTGGCTTAAAAATTTATATTATCAGCCCATAACGTAAAAATATGATGTCGCCGTTTGTAACGTCGCTTTTGATTGGCTGATACAGCGGCGTTATAATTTCTAAGAGAAAAGAGTCCATCAATAAAAGTGGATTTACACAGGGATTGTGTATAGTAGATTAAATTATAAGGATTGACTTGAATGTATTTTTTATGCTATGGAGCTATAACACAAAAACCTGGAGTGTACTGTCGTCATAAACCGTTTCGCGGTTTATTTAGAGTACACTCCATTTTTTTGTGTTAATCTCCATAACATAAAAATTATATTCAAGTTAATCCTTAAATAGTAACATGGTAGAGGTAATAATGTGTATAACAATGAAGTAATTCGACTTGAAACAATACATATTATCTAGTATTATCAATGACATCATCAATGATGTTTTGCTCTGCTTAATGGGCAATTAGTTCTTTGCTCTGCTTTATGGGCAATTAGGCAGATTCTTATTATTATATAGAAAATACCTTTCCAAATATTCTTATGATAGTACATGTAGTTGTAATAGAATTGGCTTTATAGGCGGCTGATCTGTATAGACATTCTCTAGGCAGGTTGTCCTTTCAGACAGGGACATCTTGACACCTTGAATTCTTATGATGAAACATATGAGTTCTTGCGGTAGTTATTTGCTCTATGTAGATAGGCTTAAAAGGAAAAGTTGACAGACGACGGACGGACGACAGACGCCTCGCCATGGCATAAGCTCACTAGCCCTTCGGGCAGGTGAGCTAAAACTCAAAAGAATCATGCTTGGTTATTTCCGCAAAATAACCATGGCAGTAAATTGAAGATATGTTTGAGTTACTTTTGATCACAGGACATAAAAATGGCAACTAAACTGCTGTGCATGAGGGAAGAAGGAGGGTTTATTTTAATTTATCATTTTGATTTAAGTGAGTAATTTTAGGTATGAAGTAGTGTCATTATTTGTCATTATTACTTTTAATATATTTGGTATTTAGCTATACGCGTTCGTATGTAACGGAAATCAGCCTTTCGTGTAATTTTGTACGTCACGCATTGCGGCAAAACTTTTAGCGCGCGCGCGGAAATAGCACGCGGAAATGCGAGTAACGTGCTGAGCGGATGTGATGTAATGTGTCAGCATGACATTAAACTAAAATAGTATAAGCCTCTGTGGAAAACAACCGTTTTTCCTTATCAACCTCGTCCATCAACACCTGTCAATAACCTGATTTTAAGTGCAGGGTGGTAAAGTATTTAGCTTGACGAGCAGTGCATCTATTAGCGGCAATGCGTGCGCAAAAGGTTTTGTTATTCCATTAAGTCGCCGAAAATCGACACAGAACCGCTTAGTACTATCTTATCAACTATCAAAATAGGAAATGACAATGACCTGACAGTCTGTCCACTTTCAGCCTGTGTAGCACTATCATAAGCTCACTTTAATCCATAGTAACGGCATATCCTTGTGTAATTACACAGCATAACATAATCTATAATTTAGCTGTGACAAATTATTAGGACCTGTGTTCATGATAACATTTAAACCACAGTGACCTGAGAATTTGTTGCAGCTATACTTGGACCTAAACTACGGAATTCAGAGTAATTTTACACACAAAACAAGAGGCCCATGGGCCTAAACTGTCTTCTGGCTACAAAGACTGAGCAGCGAGAATGGTAACTTTTCAACTTTAAATGAAATATTCTAAGAATTTGTTTTCCATGAAGGTAGTTTTGGTCAGCAGTGGGTAACTATTTGTAAGTAAATCTATCAGAAAGCATTTAAACCTAAATCTGAATAGATTTCTCCCTTTAAGGCCCCGTCCCAGGGTCAAGGGTGGTTAAACCTGCCTCATTTATATATGAAATTATTGTTTCTAAATGATGTTTCATGCTGAAATTGTTGTAATCTACTTTTGGCATTAATGAGTAGTGTTTAAAAGCAGGATTTTATGTAATTTCCTTTCTTTGGGCGCCGCCCTCTCTATACCCAAGGGGTCGAACCAGCCCAGCCTCATTTATTTATTCAACAGAAAGATTGTCCCCCCCCCCCCCCCCCCCCCCCTCAATGATATTTCAGACCATTTTTGGTTGCAATATCCATTTAGGCATTAAGGAGGAATAGCATTTTATAGCTAAGTTCCACTTACGAGGCCCGAAACATCCCCACCAATTTTTAGCTCAATGGCACCAGTGGAACCGGAGAGAAGAAGTTTTAAAAGGATTTTTCAAGATGGTGGCCATCTTGGATTTCAGACCAACCAGAAAAATATCAACACTTGGTCAGGACCATCTCGGGATCATTTCAGGCAAGTCAAGTTTGACCTCAATCCCACTGGTGGAGGTTGAGAAGAAGTTTAAAATGTGTTTTTCAAGATGGCGGTCATGGTGGCCATCTTGGATTTTGCACCGTCCCGAAAGATATCAACACTTGGTCAGGACCATCTCAGGATCATTTCAGGCAAGTCAAGTTTGACCTCAATCCAACTGGTGGAGGTTGAGAAGAAGTTTAAAATGTGTTTTTCAAGATGGCGGTCATGGTGGCCATCTTGGATTTTGCACCGTCCCGAAAGATATCAACACTTGGTCAGGACCATCTCAGGATCATTTCAGGCAAGTCAAGTTTGACCTCAATCCAACTGGTGGAGGTTGAGAAGAAGTTTAAAATGTGTTTTTCAAGATGGCGGTCATGGTGGCCATCTTGGATTTTGCACCGACCCGAAAGATATCAACACTTGGTCAGGACCATCTCAGGATCATTTCAGGCAAGTCAAGTTTGACCTCAATCCAACTGGTGGAGGTTGAGAAGAAGTTTAAAATGTGTTTTTCAAGATGGCGGTCATGGTGGCCATCTTGGATTTTGCACCGACCCGAAAGATAACAACACTTGGTCAGGACCATCTCAGGATCATTTCAGGCAAGTTTCAGAATAACAAAATAACAACACTTTGTCGGCTTCCTTTCCTTAACATCCCCATCAATTTTTAGCCCAATGGCACAAGTGGAACTGGAGAAGAAGTTTAAAATGTGTTTTTTAAGATGGTTGCCATCTTGGATTTTGAGCCGACCCAAAAAATTAACAACACTTGGTCAGGAACATTTAAGGCAAGTTTCAGCTCAATACCACTGGTGAAACTTGAGAAGAAATTTAAAATGTTGAAAGTTTACGGACGGCGCTTGGCGATGGCGCATGACGACTTACGAAGCACAATGAATATAGGTCATCCTGACCCTTTGGGTCAGATGACCTAAAAAACCATAGCAACAGTATATCCTTGTGCCATTACTAGTTCTTAAAATAAATATTTTATTCTTTAGGGAAATCAACTGATGTGCAGATCTAAACTTTCACCTTTTGTCTGTTTAAAATGATCGTTATGCCAATGAAAAATCTTTTATAACGAAAAATATGAACATGCATATCTGCGCAATAACACATAGCTACCAGATTCAAACACAAAAACAGGGATCTCACGATTTGTTACAGCTATATTTGGACCTAAACTAAGGTGTTTGAGTAGTTTTACGTGTTTTAGGGGTTTAGATAATAAAAATTGATGATATGATGGGGTGGCATTTTAACCGTAATTGATCTAAACTCCTAAAATGTATAAAATTAATCTGAACACCATAGTTTGGGTCCAAATGTACATTTGTAACTGTAACATATTCTCTGGTCCCTGTGCCCCAGAATACTAAAAAGATACTCGACACCAACTGTAAAGTAAGCAGTTCCCGAAGGTAACTTGTAACTCAGTTAGGCTATTACCAGAAATGTTGAGAGAGGGGCAAATGAAGGATGTTCACTTGGCATTCAGCTAAAAATAAAGTCACAAAACTGACAAATAACTTCGCGATTTTTATTTCAATAAATAACATATTTGAAAACAACTGAAATGCTTCCCTACATAGTGAAAGACTTAAAGTAAATATTACTTATAACACCAGACATTGAATAATAAATCCATTTGACTGTTAAACAAAGATTGATAGAGGCAATAGAACATACAGCGTATTGAACGTTATATCAGTGATCATTTATATCATAAGATGAATCAAATGAGAAGCAAATATATGAGATTAAAAGTTATATGTAAACATCTACATATCAAGCTAGTAAATGCAACGTTTAAAAGATTTTAAAAATTCATGTATATAATCACACCCAGATTATATCTGTATAACAGTTGTGTTGTCCAACAATCCTACAACATAAGTATATTCGATCTGCACTTCTTCAACTTGAGTTTCTTTTTGAGAAATACTCCTGCATAGGAAGTCACTTCAGGGTAACCCATTACTACTGTATGTTTATAACGTATCATAATTACTGTATGTTCACCGAGACCACTTACTATTGTAAAGTGTATGACATGGTTTCAAGGTAACCCACTTCTACTGTACGCTCAATTTCTGGTCAAGATCAGCTAACTTTATTTCTGTTCAAGGTAACCCACTTCTACTGTACGCTCAATTTCTGGTTAAGATCAGCTAGATTTATTTCTGTTCAAGGTAACCCAGCCACTTATACTGTATGCTCAAAGTATAACTCACTTCTAATTTCTGTTCAATATCAGCAAATTTTATTTCTGTTCAAGGTAACCTACTTCTACTGCCTCTTCATGGTAACCCACTTCTGCTGTCCGTCCAATGTTACTAACTACATATCATGTTCAAGATAACCCAATTCTATTGTAACTTGTTCAAGAAACTTATTACTACTTATTTAAAGGTAATCCATTCCATCTGTTCAAAGTAACCCACTTGTACTACAGGTGTTCCTGTTAACAGTAAACCATTTTGTCTTAATTATGTTCAAGGTAACTCACTTTTATGTCTGTTCTAGCTAACACATTTCTACTGTCTGTTCAAGGAAGCCAACTTCTATTCATGCTCAAGGAAAACCACTTCAACTGTCTGTTCAAGATAATCTATTCCTACAGTCAAGCTGCTATGAGTTCAGTGTTTAAGCAGTCTGTTCTTCACAATCGTCTCCTACTCATTTTCAAGTCGACCCAGTTCTTTTATAACGACCCACTTCTACAGTATGTTTAGAGTAATAGCTATTTTAAAATGTATGTTCTTTGTTAAGTATATTTTAGAAGTCATTTAAGAAAAAGAAAAAACAAGTATGTATATGTATTATATAGGGCAAATTCAGATACATGTAAAAATCCTAAAGGATTCTATCAGCTGAGAATTAATCCGCTGCAGTTAAATTGTGTTGAACTGGCGAATGTGGTGTCATTCAGAGTGTTTGTGACTTCAGCATTTTTATAAGAGCTATGTGTGTTCCTCAAGTTGTTTCTTTCTGTTTCTGGATCGCCAGATATTGATGATGCGGTCGTCAGCTACGGTGACAAGGCACTCTTGGTCAACAGGGTCAAAGGCCACACCATTGACCACACCTTCACTGTGCTGGAGTTTGGCCAGACAGGTATGATAACGGCGGTCCCAAAGGTAGCCCAGAAACTCCTCACTGCCACTGTAAATATACACATCCAGGTATAGAACCCTCCTTTTTATGTAAGAACATAATTATTCACTTCGTCTACTGTTAAAACGTGGGTCGGTGGAATGACATTAATCTGTCACTTTGTCACAGTACAGCTATATATGATGAGTATATATACTGCCTCACTGACGACACAGTAATGGTTATCAACAAGAAACCATTACTAATTAGATATTTGCTGGTTATTTTTCACACAAACGTTGCACTCTGTTATCCTCTTTTTATTATTTTCACACTTAACTGACAAATCAGAGAGTAAGGTTTGTGTGAAAAATAACAAGCAAATATCTAACTATTTACCCCAATCATGAAACATATTTCTAAACATTTTCTTCAGGTTAGTAGGTATAATATGTATGGATTGTGAAAAGATTTGTGAAGAATTTTGTCTGATGAAGGCGACAGAGTACATTATAACTGTACTAGTCATCGAAACGTCATATATAAACACTTTTTGATTGTGCTACATGAATCTTTTCACATGAAACATATTGCTATTCATCAACAACCATGAATTTCCTGTAAGTTTGGAATTCATGACAAGAAGCCTAATAGACAATAAAACATTTGACCTTCAAAGTGGGTTGAGGTCAAATGTAACCAAACTTAACAGCTATCATTCTTACACTGCAGGATGATAGCCATTACTCTACACCTGATGGACCTTTGCTGAAGAATTATAACTGGATGACTTCGGCATTATTTCAACTTAGTCAAGATCATTTATTTCAACAAACTTGATAGTATGTTTCTCCCTAAAGCTACACACCAAAGCCGAAAAAACATTTAAAACCTACTGTTTCAAGGTTTTCACACATTTAATCCATGTGACTAAAACCAACAGAGGGTCAAAGTCGTTTATTTGGATAAACTTGATGGGCCTTTGACAAACCAAGCTTAAGACTAACTATTATTACCAAGGTACCCTATTTCTCGACATTATGGATCTGTAGAAGTTGCCCAAAACTTAACAAAGATTAGCATATATGACCTTGAAGGTAAATTGTAGCCCTTTATATCAACCTAGCTTCCTACGGGCCAAATATCATGGACTTTTGCATAATCATTTATAAGAAGTTTGAACATTTCCTCGAAAAGCCTTGAAAGTCATACATAAAGCCCATGTACTGCAGACCATTTCCTTTGTTACCTTCCTTGAAATTAAAGTGGGTCATGGTTATTTATTTCAACAAACCTGATAGCCATTAATCCCAGCATGCTACTTGCCAAATATCATCACCCTGTGTATCTTGGTTATCTAGATTTTTTTCTTTTTAATTTCAGCTTACTCCTGTGACCTTGAAAGTTTGTTAATGTTATTCTTTAGAACAAACCTGACAGGATAAACCTTGGTTATTCAGAAGAACTAGTCATGTAACAAATTTGACCCATGTAACTATGAATTTTGGGTCAGGATCACCTATTTGGATAAATATATTTGAAACCTCTTCACCCTAGTATGTTACTGGCCACATATCATTACCAAAGCCCTCTTGGTTTTTCTTAAAAAGTTATCAAACTGTTTTAACAAATTTGACCCACATGACCATGAAAGTGGGTCAAGGACTTTTATTTGAAAACAAATTATAGCCCTTCATCCAAGTTTGCTACTGGCCAAAACAATCATCATCATAAGATCTTTTGGTTATTTTAGAAGAAGTTATTTAAAAAGTTAATGTTGGATAGACAGATGGAAGGACACACACCAAGGCATAATACCAACTGGCCCTTTGAGCTAGGTGAGCTTAAACACAACGTTATTTACATTATTCATTTCCTAGCCTCGTTTTTCCCTTTATTATTTTTACAAAGTAAGCCATCAAAACTTCCAACTTATCATGTTCATGAACACCAAGGATAAGTGTAAAATTACCTAGCAACATTTCTTGTCACAGCAATCACTACATATACACCTAGCAACATAGGCCTGACAGCAGTACACACTTACCAAGCAACATAGGCCTGACAGCAGTACATACTTACCTAGCAACATAGGCCTGATAGCAGTACACACTTACCTAGCAACATAGGCCTGACAGCAGTACACACTTACCTAGCAACATAGGCCTGTCAGCAGTACACACTTACCTAGCAACATAGGCCTGATAGCAGCACACTTACCTAGCAACATAGGCCTGATAGCAGTGCACACTTACCTAGCAACATAGGTCTGACAGTAGTGCACACTTACCTAGCAACATAGTCCTGACAGGAATCCAGACATATGTACCAGGCTGGGAACTCAGAGAACCCCTTGTGACCTCCAAATTTTAACTCTGGTACCAGCCGAAATGTCTGTAGATCAATAGTTTTGACCTCCATATCCTCCATTAATCTGGGGTATTCTTGTTCTGCATCGTAAACTGCATATCGACAGTTAAAGTACAGGTATCTGGAAAATTATGGCAGTCAATCATTATTTTAATTCATCCGATGGTAACACAGCGTTTGATTGGTCCATTGAAATATAATTTGCAGTAGTATAACCACAATATACAGTCTGTATATTCTAAAAAGTCTATGAAGCAAAGATGTTTTTTGTCTATTATGTCATTGACCCATACATGTCATAACTTGACCCTGAAAGTCAATGTAATTCTGTTCACTTTGAATGATAATGATGTCCCCAATCCTTCTCAGAGTGAACAAGACTTTTGGGAAAAAGGCTCAAAAATAATATAAAATCATTGATTCTTTCAGTGTTTTTGCTGATTTGAATAAGAACAGGAGTAAGGTTCTGTATTTGGAAATTTGTAGCAGTATATAATTATTATTTTACTCGCTCAATTAGTGACAGTATAATCATCACATATATACCACTGCATATCTCAATAAATATTAGAGTTATCTCTCAATTCACATTGCACAAATGATAAAAAAATGCTTGGAGTCTTCAAACAGCCTTTCAGACATACCTATTCCACCTGACATAAATTTCTTACTACAGGAAGTTGTGCTGAAACATCTGATAAACATTTTGTTCACTTTCGACCCACATCCTCAACAACTTTAGTGTTTCAGCACTATACATACCTACATAGGTGATTGTATTAAAAGAACATAATGCCTCACTGATTTTGTATATTTTTTTCTACATTAAGAATTTGTCAACGTTGTTCTTTCGAAATATTGGTAGATTTTCCTTTTTTATGAAATTTGCAAAATTTCATCTTATTAAAAATGGGACTAAAATCTATTTTATAAGTAGGGAAATATCAATTCAGTATTAACATCCTATTGTACCTATGGTCTTGAGATAGCTTCATGCCTGAGATGTAATGCCCAGGTAAGTGGATGATCTTGGTAGGGTTCTGTGGTGTTGTAAGCTGAGTAAACGTAGAAGTTGCAGTCCCTAGTCCTTCCCTTCCAGTTCCTGCTGTAGCCTTCCTTACTGTTTCTTCAAATAATTTCTTATCCTTCAACTTCTTTTCTAAGGTTTCAGGTAAATCATTGACTTTGTGAAAGGCAATGGCATCATGTTGTTCTCCTGTCACAAATAGCATATATCTATCAAAAGTCTGCAGGACTGAAGCAGGACCTTGCTGTGTCTTATCTGGTCCATTGACACCTTGTATTTGTACACAATCTGCACAGTAATGTATCACAGCACCACTTAGTGTCTCTCCACAATTATTACAGACGTTCCCACAAGGCTTAGACTCAAATGTACTTGATTCACTATTTGCTTGGATTAAATTATTTGAATTAGTATTGCTTGATATTTTGGTGTAATTTTCACAGTCTCTAGAGTGATCCCTCGGAGCCACTATGTGGGGGGCTATGTGGAAATCTTCACTGAAAGCTTTAAGAAAATCTGATCCAACTTCGGAGTCTTTCCCAGTGCCTCGCACCGAGTTATTACACTGGTAACTTGTAGAGAGTAATTTTGTTGCTGGGCGAGGTACTTTGGCTACTAAAAGATTCATAGCACGTTGGGGGTCACCAAAGAAGGAGTAGATGACAGTCCCTTCCTCATAAGGACATCTTAACAGAATCTGGTCTGGGACCTGAAGGGGAAAGATGACCCAGATATATACTGTATACAGCAATAAACAGTCCAAGAGATAAAACAAATACAAACTTTCAGGGCAATTAGACAGGTTCCTATAATATTCTTACGATATATCATAATATTATAATAAGACTATCTTTATAGACCACTGACCTTTATAGGCAGATAGTCTTTATAGACATAGTCTCTATAGGCAGATAGTCCCTATAGACAAATAGTCCCTATAGGCAGATAGTCTTTATAGACAAATAGTCCCTATAGGCAGATAGTCTTTATAGGCAGATAGTCTTTATAGGCAGATAGTCTTTAAATACAGATAGTCTTTATAGGCAGATAGTCTCTATAGGCAGATATTCTTTATAGGCAGATAGTCTTCATAGGCAGATATTCTTTATAGACATAGTCTCTTTAGGCAGATAGTCTTTATAGACAAATAGTCTCTATAGACAGATAGTCTTTATAGGCAGATAGTCTTTAAAGGCAGATAGTCTTTATAGACATAGTCTTTATAGACAAATAGTCTTTATAGGCAGATAGTCTATATAGACAGATAGACTCGATAGAGACATAGGCTTTATAGACATATAGTCTTTATAGGCAGATAGTCTTATAGACAGATAGTCTTTATAGACAAATAGTCTTTATAGGCAGATAGTCTTATAGACAGATAGTCTCTATAGGTAGATAGTCTCTATATGCAGATAGTCTTTATAAGCAGATAGTCTTTATAAACATAGTCTATATAGGCAGAGTCTTTATATGCAGATATTCTTTATAGACAGATAGTCTCTATAGACAGATAGTCTCTATAGGTAGATAGTCTTTATAGGCAGATAGTCTATATAGACAGATAGTCTCTATAGACAGATTGTCTTTATAGACAGCTAAGTTTTATAGACAACTAAGCTTTACAGACAGCTGAGCTTTATAGACAGCTGAGCTTAATAAACAACTGAGCTTTATCTGGTATATACTGCTGTGCTTTTATTACAGCTGAGCTGTATAAACTGCTAAGCTTTAATTATAAAGACAGCTGAGCCTTATAGACAACTGAGCTTTAAAGAGAGCTGAGCTTTACAGACAGTTGAACCTTACCTGGTATGTACAGCTGTGCTTGTATTACAGCTGAGCTTTATAAACTGCTGAGCTTTATAGCCAGTTGAGCCTTATAGACAGCTAAGCTTTATAGACAGCTGTGTTTTATGGAAAGCTGAGCTTTATAGAGAGCTCTGCTTTACAGACAGTTGAGCTTTACCTGGTATATACAGCTGTGCTTTTATTACAGCTGAGCTCTATATACAGCTGAGCTGTACAGACACCTGAACTGTATATACAGCTCAGCTGTACAGACACCTGCAGTTTATAGACAGCTGAGCTGTACAGACACCTGCACTTTATAGATAGCTGAGCTGGGCAGACTCCTGCACTTTATAGACAGCTGAGCTGTACAGAAACCTGCACTGTATAGACAGCTGAGCTGTACAGACACCTGCACTGTATAGACAGCTGAGCTGTACAGACACCTGCACTTTATAGACAGCTGAGCTGTACAGACACTTGCACTTTATAGACAGCTGAGCTGTACAGACACCTGCACTGTATAGACAGCTGAGCTGTACAGACACCTGCACTGTATAGACAGTTGAGTTGTACAGACAGCTGAACTTTATAGACAGCTGAGCTGTACAGACACCTGAACTTTATAGACAGCTGAGCTGTACAGACAGCTGAACTGTATAGACAGCTGATCATTACAGACACCTGAACTGTATAGACAGCTGAGCTGTACAGACACCTGCACTTTATAGGCAGCTGAGCTGTACAGACACCTGCACTTTATAGACAGCTGAGCTGTACAGACACCTGAACTGTATAGACAGCTGAGCTTTACAGACACCTGAACTGTATAGACAGCTGATCTTTATAGACACAAAGTCTTAAATGAATAATCTCTATAGACAGTCTCTAAGTTTACTTACATAAATAGCAGATGGCCTGCATTCAGTAACTTTGAAATTTAAATTACTCAAAGGCAAGATAATTACAATGATATCATCAAACCAGACTGGGCAGTACATTTTTCTGTTCAGTCCATTGATATTGAACTACTGACCATTTGAAACTAAACAAAATATAATATTACTTACAACATCCTGAACTTTAAAAGCCTTAACACAAAAGAAGTGATTGTTAGCAGCATCAGGTACATAGCCCCCTACACAAATATCATCACTGTACCAGTCAGCAAACAGGTGGGGAGGGTCCATCGGCATCTCCTGTAGCAGGCAGAAATCTGTCCAATGAATAAACAGTTAGTAACACAATGATGTTGTCTCATGATTACCAAATCCACATTTAATTAAATGGGGCTGTTAGAACATAAAATTTACAAAAGTAAGAGCAACTGTCCAGTTCCAGACCAATAGTTATTGTTAAAATAATGACACTGTCTTAAGTGAACATAAAATTTATAATTAGCAACAGCAATCAAAATTCCTCCTACTGAATTCAGAGAACTACCTGGATCTTAAAAATATCTGATAAGCCAATATTTTGTATATAGCTACCTGTTATTAGACTAAATTGAAAATCTCAACCCAAGGAGTAGGATTATTCACTTAGGGCTTAGACTTTTAAGAATTTTATCCAGAGGGCTATCATTTCTGTCTTTTTCCCAAAAAGTGGGGAACAATTATTTTTTCTTCCAAATCAAATACAAATTTTGATAATTTGAAATAAGTATTTATTTAATGATTTTCAAGCAAATGCAATGAATTTCCTTCAATTATCTGGTATTGCTGAGGTTACGCTTTATCAATTGTTTTCATGATGTCACACCATTGTCTACAGCAGCTTGTTGTTAGACTAGGGTGTGGAAAGACAAGACTCCTACGTATACCCCTGTAAAATGGTGGCTACACCTGTTTGAGCTGGGAGAATATATGAACCAAGTACTCATAGAGCCTATCATATGTAGGTAGTTTGGATATAGATGTTCTTTATAAAGGTGTGGAATTCGGAACAGAACAAAGCTGATTCTGAGGTTTTGACCTTGACCCCAAATTCTACACCAGGGTTAGAATATCCATATCTCACATACCTAAATAATTATTGACAATTTTCTCATACCTCTCACCTGACATTTTGGTAAAACACCTCAAATTATAAATAGCATGCAAGACTATCAGGGTAAGCTGCGGCAATATCCTGGAGTACTTCTTATGGACGTGAGCATGAGGTGGTGTAAGTTGCTAATCAGCAGGATCACCATGATCAAATGATGTGTTCAATGGGCTTTCGACTGTGAAGTCATCACATCATCATCCAATTGTAACGTGACGTGACTTGACATGATAGTAAAGGTCATTGAGAGCATCAATATGGATACACTTACCAGGTATCCCACATAATTGTCCTGTTTGGGACACATATCTTACATATCTTATACACCCAGACCTAGACTATATGTACCAACCTTTCATCCTAAACACCACTCCCAGACCTAGACTATATGTACCAACCTTTCATCCTAAACACCACTCCTAGACCTAGACTATATGTACCAATCTTTCATCTTAAACACCACTCCCAGACCTAGACTATATGTACCAACCTTTCATCCTAAAAACCACTCCCAGACCTAGACTATATGTACCAACCTTTCTCCCTTTACACCACTCCCAGTCCAAGACTATATGTACCAACCTTTCATCCTAAACACCACTCCCAGACCTAGACTATATGTACCAACCTTTCACCCTTTACACCACTCCCAGTCCAAGACTATATGTACCAACCTTTCATCCTAAACACCACTCCCAGACCTAGACTATATGTACCAACCTTTCATCCTAAACACCACTCCCAGACCTGGAGAATGAGTTCCAACAGCTGGGGGTTTGAGCTTCACTCCACAAACTAACAGGTAGGAGTCATCACTATTGAAGGTAGCATACTGTGTCATGTTCCAGTCCAAGACCAGACCAAGGTCAGCTGAATGTCGTAACAGAGTAGGGTTTCCCACCTCCCATATCTACATCAAATCAATATATAGATTTTAAAACATAAGACATAATAATAAACAATATTAACAGATGAATACTAAATAAATCATCTCTCTTAATTCTATTGACATTTATAGACATTTTTTCTGTATTCCATAAATTCACCACAAAATTATCTAGAAATCTTTTTTGAGGCAACACAAATTAGTTTGTTCTCTAAATTTTATTGTGCCTTGGAACAGAGAAACCTAATGTGTTTACCTTGACCTTGGTATCTTTAGAGGTCGTACAAAAAAATCTGCCATCATGTGAAAATGCTACATCCAAAACCTCATCAGTATGTCCGTCAATCCTCTCACTAAATTGTGTCGGGGCGTGATAGAACAAACGTTCATATTCCATGTACCATGTTCGGTCACTGTCCTTCTGCCCACCTGGAATGCAACATAACATGAATATAGATAGTTGACAATAGCATATGATAATTTTTCGCTATGTATCATATAACAATTTATCCCAAGTTACATTACTGTCTGGTATATAAAATCATAACCAGTATAAACAGAACTGTAAACAGTAAGCATTTCATTTATACATCATCTTTTTTATCAATAATGGCCTTCGTAGTCATTATAAACATATAACACTGCATTTACTATTTATATAATGCATATACTGACTCTCTCTGGCTAGGATAGATTTGGAATTCATGGAAATTATTTAAAAAAATCATTAAGATGGTACCATATGAACCATTGACATTTTGAAAACTATATCAAGCCAAATAAAAATCTATGTGTGTTTCCTGTTTGGGCTCCAAAATGTAATTTGTTGGTGTTTTCAATTTGATCAAATTAATTGGACAACAAAATAAGTGAACTCCATCTCTCCACTCCAAACTTATCTCCTACTACATGTATTAACTATAAAACTACACAGATCTACAAACTACAGCTAAAACTACTATTATCACCAACTTCCTAATTCTCACTCTAACTCTCCTCTTTATCTCTAGACCTAGATCAACTGGTCTCCCTAACTCCTCCTCCTTCCTCGAGACTCAACTCCCCAGCCCAACTCTCTTCTCCTCCTTAGACTCTTAAGCTGAACTACCTTACTATCTGTCGTTTAGCAAAATCCTCCTACATTTAAATTGTTGATGCTGCTAATACCCCTTTACGACTGGGTTAAATTGGCCATAAATCCTGCTAATGTCTTCTGTGGTCAGCATCAGCCAGAGGCACAAACACTGACATCACAGACTGGACACCCCACCTAGACTACAGACGGTCACACTAATTTACAGATCCCAACCTATATCATAACCACAATTATCTATTGCTACTTAGCTACTATCTCCAAATAAAACTCGGACACTGGCCACAAGCCAAAGCTAATAAAATGCATAGCAAATTATATGTACACTTTAAACAATTAAACGGTTAATAAATGCATAACAGTGACTGTGAAAAAACAATAAAATGTATTAGGGTCAGCATGGAAAAATAGGGCTAGTCGGGAAACACAGCTACATGTATATTATTTTGGGCCTTATCATTTAAAAAGACAATCCTCATATGTTACCCCACTCAATTTTTCCAAGTGTCAATCAAGGGTGGAAATTGAGACTACAAATTATTAGTGCAGAGTAATACTAAGCTAACCTGCAATTCCATCTAGCCATGTCAGTTGAATAAGCAGCAAGATATGGTGAACCACTGTTACATATACAGGGTATATACTGTGTATGATTCTGATGAATCATATATATATATATATATATATATAGAATAAAAAAAAATATATATATATATACTTAGCAATTCATCATATGCTAAGAACCTTGTGTATTCCAGTTAAATTGAGTCAGGACTTTCCACAAACTCTCATCTCTGGCAATTCTGTGCCATTTGTGGCATGTACAGCTGGCCCTTAGTAAACTTTTTGCTTCCAAGAAGCTGAAGATGTGCAGCAAAACTGTTTCTGGAATAAGATCCTGCCATGGACATGATGTGGTCATTGTGTTAAGGAGACTTCCTGGACAGCATCTGTCATTGAAAGATTAAGAAGACATTGTCATTGTAAATCATAGATTTTGTCACTGCGAATGTCACATTTAATCAATTTGTAAACATGTAAATAATGTTCAGTATATTGAACGTTTTAGAGTATCCTGGCTGTTGACTAGTTGAAATGTATTTTTTATTCTGTAAAAAAAACACTTCATGGTTTCACAGCATTATTTCCTGTAACACAAATAGAGCAATAACAGGTATAATAATGACTTGGTCCTTTCCAGTACCACATCATACAATACTATGTGAACCTTTATAATGTATGTACACAACTTATTTTTCTCAAACCAATGTCAACAAGACCCTGTGCCAGTAATGTGATGCATGTCTGTTCAGCATTCACATAGACTAAGTAAGATCAAACGGCAGGAAATGGTAATTGTTTTATCTAATACATTTATTGGAGACAGTCCAGCTTTGGACGCTTAGAGGATAAGGTTTTGAAATATAATTAATTTATCTAGGTATATTTTAAGACCGTCCGGAACAAGATTCGTGTCTGGCAGGTCGGCAGTCTGGTCCTCCCCTTTGCTTCCGCCTCACAAGTTTCTTATAGTTGATTTGGCGGAAGTCAGACATTTAAAATAAATCTATCTACGGTGAAAGACCTATAATTAATATCATATGAAAATGAAAACATTAGAAACTACTGCAAACACTCAATATATAATAATCACCTAGCTGTGATCCTTTCCGGTGCCTGTGTATTTTCCCATTTTTCTGTTTACAATCCAAACTCTGCGTCTGAAATGCGGTTATTAACTCGAGATCTGGGTCAATTGACGCTTTCATTAGAAGACCTTGCTCGGGACCTGGGAGATTTTGTAAGCCGAAGGTATGCCTCTGCGACTCATACATGTACAATAGGATGAAGCTTTTCAGCTTCTGAGCCTTCTACACATAAATTACCCAATAGTCTGTTATTTTAAAGTTTTACATTTCGTTTAACCATCGTTACCCAGGTGCCGAAACGATCCATCCGATTTTTTTACATCTTTATTTTTTAAAAAGAATATGACATATATGTTATATTTAATGTCTTTTGTTATCAACATAATGATAAACTCTTCTTTCTAAAGCGATTTTGTTTCGTTATTCTTAAAAAAAGAAAATCACATGAAAATAGCTCCAAAGACCAATTTCAGATCGGTCAATAGAGCTATAGGAGGACCTGATCAATACCGGCCTTCTCTGCCCTTGACGCAATATATATAAAACAAAAATCTCGTCGTCGGAAAGCTACGTTATCGCAGCTTCTAGATACTGTACACGAGTTTCCTCCATAGCTGCCCGGGTTCTTTAATATATGTGATATGATATGAAAAGGCAAAGCCTAAAAAGAGTGTAGCTGTCATTAATCTCTGATTACTGGTTCAAAATGAGATAATACTGATTCGGAATGAGATAAAATAAGCTTTATTTAAAGTCGATGAATAGCAATAAACACCAGATCTAATGAGATTTTAAGACCGACATAAATGATGACAATAAGGGGAAACCTTTTTCTAAAAGTCGTTCTGGGAAGTATGGCAGCCGTCCGTGTTTGAAAGATCGGTTTGCAAAACGGGCCACGCCACAGGGGAAGTTAATTAAGTTATAATTAAGCTAATAATTCAACGTCAGATTTTCCTACCAATTTCACAACTTTTTACAAGTGCATGGGCCGAACTTGCCCTGGTATCATGGGCCAAACTGTCCTGGCTCAAATTGATATTTCAATAGCAAGGGGAAGCAACTCATGTGTTACCATTAAAGATCTTTGCACGGGCACCTGAGAGCTACATTCTTATTATCACACCCCACAAGATATCGCACCCCCTTATACTAATAAATCATATTCGTATAAGGGGGTGCGATATCTAGTGGGGTGCGATAATATATCACATGTATTCCTCCGGCCTTGACACCAGACTTAGAAATTTGACCAGACATCTATCTGTCAAAATGGTTAAGTCTGGTGTCGGGGCCAGAGGAAACTCGGGCTACTCGATACTGAGGATAGCAAAAAAATAAAAAAATAAAAATCCCAGTGTTGAAAACTGTTGAAACTGGCTGTAATGTTGCTGGAGAGGCACACCAGTTAGTGTCAGGAAGATGATGCTGATGATGACGATGATGTCTCAATTGACTTTAAACTTTAGAATATGAAAATTAACTAATTTTCAAATTGTGTATCATTCCTTCTTGAAATTATGCATGTATATAGTGTTCCTAGCCTTAGCCTGAGCCTTACATTATCTGTACAGTTTATATAACTGTTTCAAGAATGCATTATGATGATCACAATATGTATAAACTTTCAGGAAGGTAAATGAAGAGCAATGTACAAATAAATTATTTTTTCTTGTATTATAGGGCCAAAAAGCACCTAAGTGTACCAAAAGAAAATGCTGAGAAATGTGCTATCATGCAGTAGCAAGCGGATTTATACTTGCCTGTTTGTTCCGATGAAGACCAGACATCAATCTTCCATCCTTGGTAAATTTAAGAAATTTGCTATCTTTTCAAGTTGATTTGAAGGCCAGCTGGCAGCTTCCATTTTTAGCTCACCTGGCACGAAGTGCCAAGTGAGCTTATGCCGTGGTGCGGCGTCCGTCGTTCGTCCGTCCGTCCGTCCGTCCGTCCTCGTCCGTCAACTTTTCGTTTAAACAACTTATTCTGAAGAACGGACAGGCCTAGAGTCATGATATTTGGCTGAAAGCTTCGTTGGTAGGAGCCCTACAAAGTTTGAGAACGAAAATGACCTTGACCTGTTTTCAAGGTCACAGGGGTCAAATATGTCAAAAACTTCAAACGACTTCTTCTAAAGAACTAAAAGGTATAGAATCTTCATATTTGGCTGATGGCTTCCTTGGATGGAGCCCAACAAAGTTTGAGAATGAAAATTACCTTGACCTTCTTTCAAGGTCACAGGGGTCAAATGTGTCAAACACTTCAAACGACTTCTTCTGAAGAACTGAAAGGTATATAATCTTTATATTTGGCTGGTGGCTTCCTGGGATAGAGCCCAACAAAGTTTGAGAATGAAAACTAGTTTGACCTACTTTCAAGGTCACAGGGGTCATATATGTCAAAAGCTTCAAATGACTTCTTCTGAAGAACTGAAAGGTATAGAATCTTTATTTTTGATTGATGGCTTCCTTGGATAGAGCCCGACAAAGTTTGAGAATGAAAATGACCTTGACCTTCTTTCAAGGTCACAGGAGTCAAATGTGTCAGACACTTCAAACGACTTCTTCTGAAGAACTGAAAGGTATATAATCTCTATATTTGGCTTGTAGCTTCCTAGGAAAGAGCCGAACAAAGTTTGAGAATGAAAATGACCTTGACCTTCTTTTAAGGTCACATGAGGCAGATATGTCAAACACTTTAAACGACTTCTTCTGAAGAACTGGTAGTTATAAAATCTTAATATTTGGCAGGTGGCTTCCTGGGAAAGAGCCAAACAAAGTTTGCGAATGAAAATGACCTTGACCTACTTTCAAGGTCACAGCGTTCAAATATGTCAAACAGTTCAAACAGCTTCTTCTGAAGAATTAAAAGGCATAAAATTATAATATTTGGCTGGTGACTTCCCGGGATAGAGCTCACCAAAGTTTGCAAATGAAAATGACCTCAACCTACTTTAGAGGTCACAGAGGTCAACAACATTTTAATGGATTTGTTCTTGAGAACTAAAAGGAATGGATTCATAAGATTTGGCTGGTAGCTTTTTGGAATAGAGCTAACCAATTTGAGAAGGAAAATGACATTGACCTACTTACAAGATCACAGGGAAAAATATGTCAAGCAACTTCTGAAGAAGAATCAAAAAGCATAGAATCTTATAATAATATTTTGCTGGTAGTTTCAACAGATGGAGCCAACAAAGTTTGCGAGGGAAATATTTTTAGTGCAATATAATATTTAATGAGAATATTTTGCTATGACTGCTTAAATATTCAGGTGAGCGATACAGGCCCTCTTGGGCCTCTTGTTGTTGGATGGCCCATCGTTCATGGTTGACTTCTGCTTCAAGTCTACCCCTCCCAAATGTCTGCACTGATTGACATCAAAGTATGTGTGAATGACCACAGGTGCAAGACTAGATAGCTAACCACATAATACAGTGATTCTAAGAATACATTTGGGGTATACGTCGTCAATTATAAAGGCCTCTTGCACTTGATAATTTCTGCTGTATTTCCCAAAATCGATGAAAATATAACCTTATTTTCCCAAAATCACGCTTTTTGTGTGTGATATTTTCCAAAGTCACAACTTGCAGGCCCCTGTGGAAAAGAGATTGAAAAATCACTGGTTTTATGTAGATAAATGACCAATTGTAATCTGGCCAGCAACTGCTTTAAAATTAGGTGGGACAACAATAAACATTGTAACTGATGCTTCACTTTGATCAGGACTGGAATATATCCCAAAAAAATATTAATAGATATATGTGGCTGGGCTTTTGAAAGTAACAAAACAATAACATCCCAGGTGCCTTGTACTTCAGTGAGGTAGACCAGAAACCTCTTTAGAAGCAGGCATCATCATGTTCAATAGTAAATACTATGTGGTAACCTTATATCTTGCATCTCTTTCACAATTTTACAAATGATTTGTGGAAGGAAGGATGAAAACAAATGCATTTTGACTAAATCCAGAGAGTAATATATTACGATCAGTACATCAAACTGTGTTTAATTGTTACCTACCTTTAACAGTAATATTGGTATTAGACTGCAGGCCCATGTCAGTGAGAAGCTAGTATAGCCATTGTATTTATCACATCAGTTGTGGCAAGATAACTGAATCGTTAATTCATGTTAACTAAATGTGATTGAATTAAAATGTTTCGATGTTTGTGATCACAGCAGCAACCACACAGCCGTTTCACACCACTGCGGACAGTAGGAGGCGGGAAGAAACCTTGTCTCAAAGATCTGAGGTGAAAAATCAAGAAGTCCGGTCCAAGAAAGATGAGCTCCTGCAGGACTTAAGACTCAGAAGTTTGGATGAAAACAATTTTGAGTAAGAATTACGAATGTGATGATCCACATTCAAAAATATTATGCAGTTGCATGGGCCCTTCCTTAAGCAGAGGGCTTCTTTTTCTTTTGCTTACGTTTTGTGACCTTTATCTTTTCTCTCCTACCTTTTTGGCACAGTCTTGTTATATTTTAGGCACTTGTCTTCATTTAATTTTAGTTGTTCTTGAATCTTAAACCTTGTCCAAATCATAACTGCATTCAATAGTGAGTTCTCCCTGTCATTCACTGAATCCAAGTGAAATGTGTAACTGTGGGAGAAATGATCATATTTTTACGGTCTCAGTTTATTGATAGCTATGATTTCCTTTTTCAGTGCTTTCTTTCCAACAGAAGACACACCTGATTTAGTTATACAGGGCGTCAAGTACAAGGATTTACCAGTGGTGTATATCCAGGCCTCAAGTAACAATGTTATCATCACACTAGCTACTGCTGAAGGTAAGAAACTATGATTAATATACAGACCTCAAACAAAAACACAATCATCACACTAGCTACTTCTGAAGGTAGGGAACTATGATTAATATACAAACCTCAAACAAAAACACAATCATCACACTAGCTACTGCTGAAAGTAGGAAACTATGATTAATATACAGACCTCAAACAAAAACACAATCATCACACTAGCTACTTCTGAAGGTAGGTAACTATGATTAATATACAGACCTCAAACAATAACATGATTTTTAGCTCGGGCCAAATGAGCTTATGCTTTGGTGCAGCGTCCATCATCAGTAGCATGCTGGAATAAAGGGCTACCAAGTTTGTTCAAATGAATGACCTTCATCAATTTTCAACGTCACATGGGTTTATTGTCTTAAAAAATAGTTAAATAATTTCTTCTGAATAACTAAGAGGCCTAGGATAATGATATTTGGCCAGTAACATGCTAGGATAAAGGGCTACCAAGTTTGTTCAAATGAGTGACCTTGACTTATATTGAAGGTCACAGGGGTCAAATATGTTAAAAATCTTAATAAACAACTTCTTCTCAATAACCAAAAGGCCTAGGATGATGCTATTTGGCCAGTAGCATGCTGTGATGAAGGGCTACCAAGTTTGTTCAAATGAGTGACCTTGACTTATATTCAAGGTCACAGGGGTCAAATATGATTAAAACCTTTGAACTACTTCTTCTGAATAACCAAGAGGCCTAGGATAATGATATTTAGCCAGTAACATGCTGGGATAAAGGGCTACAAAGGTTGTCCATATGAATGACCTTTACATATATTCAAGGTCACAGGGGTCAAATATGTTTAAAACCTTTAAACAACTTCTCAATAAGCAAAAGACAAAGGGTGATGATATTTGGTCATCAACATGCTGGGATGAAGGGCTACCAAGTTTGTTAAAATGAATGACCTTCGCCCATATTCAAGGTCACAGTGGTGACTGGTCAATATATGTTTATATCTTTAAAAGACTAGTTCTATATAACCAAAAGGTCCACGGTAATGATGTTTTGCCAAAAGCGTGCTGGGTTGGAAGACTATAAACTCGGTTCAACCAAATGTCCTTGTTTGACATTCAAGGTCACTGGCATCATATGTTTAAATCTTTTAATAGTTTCTGCCTGTAGCTGTATTTTAGTCCACTTTTAAGATTACAAGTGTGAGATTAATACCAGGTGGGCGATTCAGGCCCATTGGGCCTCTTGTTACACTTAATTCAGTTGGCTAATAAACCAGAATTATCCACAGAACTGATGTCACCTGATTGGTGTTTTGATTGATCCTTTACATTTGTTGAGTGTATTCTCAGCACTCCACATACTTTTCAGTATCAAATCTTATATGGTTGTACCCTATATTAAGTCCTTATTTTCCAGACTGGTGTTGACTGTATTGTGTACCTTTGACCAAGTTGAGTTACATGTACACTCTGAAATCATCTTTTATACAAATTTAATGTAGTATGATCTCAATTTTAAGATAAATAAAATACTTTCTCTCATTTCCCTGTGTGTAAGATAGAGCTGTCTAGGATAAGAAAGAGGTGCAGGAAATGACATGACGTCACGAATTTGGAATTCTCCGATGCCGCAATGCGGAAAAGGCGACGTGATGTAATTGAAACCTTTTATTACATATTTGCTGTACGTGTTAGAGAGATGTGATAATTTTTTCTTCACAAACATGGTTTGCAAATATGGGGTATGCTAAATCTGGCTGGCTAATTCTTTTTCGTCTAAAAAGCTCAGGGGAAAAATTGATATTTTCAAAATGATGGCCAGTCCAAACGCATTTTCATGGTTTCTGAGCTTATTCTGGTTGTTGGAATGAGAGAAAAATACTCTTTCATGCCCAAGGGTGTAGGATAGGGAAATTCCTCCCTTGGAATTTTCTAATTTGACAAAAACCCCGGCAAAGACTCAGGTTTTACCAAATTTGAAAACCCCTCAGGTGGAATTTCCCTATCCTACACCCCTGGGCATGAAAGAGTCTTATACTACTTATCATTCAGGTTTATGTCATACACTTATTAATCCTCTGACGAAAAATATGACTGTCTCAAATGGATCAAAGTTACCTTGTTTTATCATTACTTTATTTCTTTTGTAGGAAGAACAATCAAGACTTCTTCAGGGGTGAGTTGGTATTCATTTCTAGAAGAAATATTTAATATGTTTTAAAAGGATATGTGGCCAGAAGGCTTATGAGAACCCTTCCTTTTAGTCAAGTATTAGTATAATGAATTATCTATAAACATGCAATATAACACCAGTTATAATACTCCATTGTATTTAACTCATTTACCCCTGAAGACACATTTGAACTCTTCCAGTTCAAAGGTTGGAATAGTTCATTACAAAATTTATCTGGTGATTTTGGGAAATATTGGACTGTTCGAAAGATATACCAAACTTGGTCAGCTCAAATACCCAGATAACTCTACAATACCCAAACTTAATTACCTAGATTAACACCTTTGAGGATACTTGGTTTTAGTTGAATCCTTGGATAACTGTTTCTCATATCTAGTTTACTCAAATCCCTTGTTGAAGTTGGATGCTCGGCAAGTTCATGGGTTTTCATGAGGATCTTGTATTGTAACTGGCTGATGGATTCCTGATATCTTTAGAAGGAATTATCAGATTTTCATCAAACTTGTCTGTTGTACTTTCTATCAAAGTCCCTCACTCAAGTTTGATGCTTGGCGAATTCCTGAAGATTTAACAAAGCTGCTGTCATGTGATTGGCTGGTAGTTTTCAAGATATCTTCAGGAATTAACAGATGCCATGAAACTTTCCTAATACATGTACAGATCAGATACATATAATTAATAACCAAGTCCTTTTCCCAAGCTTGATGTCTGGCCTTTGCAAATGATTAATAAGGCTGCTGTAAGCTGATATAAATACATGTCCAACAGGAAATTTCAGTTTCCCTAAATATTTTGTTTTTGCAAGTCATGATAATGTGAGAAAAGTTATCTGTTCCAGATGAAGTTGAGGTCATAATAAAGTCACAGAGTGGTAAAATAACTGTCTCTGTTAAATGTATAATCTCTTAAACATAAACAATGAGGTCAGACTGATGAAAGAAGCAGAGTGTTGGATCATCTGACATAAGTTTATAGTAATTGGTCTTGTTTGGCAGGGTTCTGTTGGTTTTAAGAATAAAAGGGAGTCTACAGCTGTTGCTGCCCAGATTGCTACAGTGGCTGTCGCCAAGGTAAGTCTACAGTGGCAGTCGCCAAGGTAAGTCTACAGTGGCAGTAACCATGCTAGGTCTCATAGCAGTCACCAAGGTAAGTCTATAGTAGCAGTAATCATGCTAGGTCTCATGACAGTCACCAAGGAAATTCTACAGTGGCAGTAACCATGGTAGGTCTCATGGCAGTCACCAAGGTAAGTCTACAGTGGCAGTAACCATGGTAGGTCTCATGGCAGTCACCAAGGTAAGTCCACAGTGGCAGTAACCATGGTGGGTCTCATGGCAGTCACCAAGGAAAGTCTTCAGGGGCGTTAACCATGGTAGGTCTCATGGCAGTCACCAAGGTAAGTCCTCAGGGGCGTTAACCATGGTAGGTCTCATGGCAGTCACCAAGGTTAGTGTACAGTGGCAGTAACCATGGTAGGTCTCATTGCAGTCACCAAGGTAAGTCCACAGTGGCAGTAAGCATGGAAGGTCTCATGGCAGTCACCAAGGTTAGTGTACAGGGGCGTTAACCATGGTAGGTCTCATGGCAGTCACCAAGGTGAGTCCACAGTGGCAGTCACCATGGTAAGTCTCATGGCGGTCACCAAGGAAAGTCTACAGGGGCGTTAACCATGATAGGTCTCATGGTAGTCACCAAGGTAAGTCTTCAGGGGCGTTAACCATGGTAAGTCTCACGGCAGTCACCAAGGTTAGTGTACAGGGGCGGTAACCATGGTAAGTCTCATGGCAGTCACCAATGAAAGTCTACAGGGGCGTTAACCATGGTAGGTCTCATGGTAGTCACCAAGGTAAGTCTTCAGGGGCGGTAACCATGGTAAGTCTCATGGCAGTCAAGTCTACAGGGGCGTTAACCATGATAAGTCTCATGGCAGTCACCAAGGTTAGTCTACAGGGGCGTTAATTAACCATGGTAAGTCTCATTGCAGTCACCAAGGTTAGTCTACAGGGGCGTTAACCGTGGTAAGTCTCATGGAAGTCACCAATGTAAGTCTTCAGGGGCGTTAACCATGGTAGGCCTCATGGCAGTCACCAAGGTTAGTGTGCAGGGGCGTTAACCATGGTAAGTCTCACTGCAGTCACCAAGGTTAGTGTACAGGGGCGTTACCCATGGTAAGTCTCACTGCAGTCACCAAGGTAAATCTACACGGGCGTTAACCATGCATGGGAGGTCTCATGGCAGTCACCAAGGTTAGTCTACAGGGGCGTTAACCGTGGTAAGTCGCATGGCAGTCACCAAGGTAAGTCTTCGGGGGCGTTAACCATGGTAGGTCTCATGGCATTCACCAAGGTTAGTGGACAGGGGCGTTAACCATGGTAAGTCTCACTGCAGTCACCAAGGATAATGTACAGGGGCGTTAACCATGGTAAGGCTCATGGCAGTCACCAAGGTAAGTCTTCAGGGGCGTGAACCATGGTAGGTCTCATGGCAGTCACCAAGGAAAGTGTACAGGGGCGTTACCCATGGTAAGTCTCACTGCAGTCACCAAGGTAAATCTACACGGGCGTTAACCATGCATGGGAGGTCTCATGGCAGTCACCAAGGTTAGTGTGCAGGGGCGTTAACCATGGTAAGTCTCATGGCATCCACCAAGGTTAGTGTACAGGGGCGTTACCCATGGTAAGTCTCACTGCAGTCACCAAGGTAAATCTACACGGGCGTTAACCATGCATGGAAGGACTCATGGCGGCCACCAAGGTTAGTGTACAGGGGCGTTACCCATGGTAAGTCTCACTGCAGTCACCAAGGTAAATCTACACGGGCGTTAACCATGCATGGAAGGTCTCATGGCAGTCACCAAGGTAAGACTTCAGGGGCGTTAACCATGGTAGGCCTCATGGCAGTCACCAAGGTTAGTGTACAGGGGCGTTAACCATGGTAAGTCTCATGGCAGTCACCAAGGTAAGTCTACAGTGGCAGTTACAATGGTAGGTCTCATGGCAGTCATGATATTACAGTGTAAGTTTTGTTAAGTAGTGATTTATCCAAGGTCAACATCACTTCACTCTTGATTTTTGTCACCTTCTAGCAACTTTAGCTTCTAATGAATGAAAAATTGTATTTGTCCTGTAGCTTATTGAGATATAAAGCTAACAAATGTGTTCAATTGAAAATACTTGACCCACATTCAGGGTCACAAGGGTCGAATCTGTTTGAAACAAAATAAAATAGAGGTAAGTGATGAAATGATAAAAAGCCAGTGACCCTCTTGTTATTTTACCAATAAATTCTGATTTCTTATTCAAATACTGCTGCATTTGATTAAAACCTCATTTTCCCATTATATTGGGGAATTTCAGTGTTTAGTTTTATCCGGGCTAAATGAAATAGCTGTGATTACCTTGGTTTCTGCCTTTTCTTTAACATCAATTCTAATATCAGTACATGTTCCTTTGATGAACATTTGGATAATGGAATACAACAAACATGAAATAATTTTGAAATAAGATGTTTATTACTCCTGGGTTCTTATTTTGACATTCATGGTCAAGTGGATACTAGTTCCATTTTACATTCAAAGTACTATGAACGTAATATTTGTTTTATCTGAACAGGAGGCAAAGAGAGAAGGAATATATGCAGTACGTGTAGCACTGAAAGGCATTGGAAAAGGGAGAGAGGTATGTATATGATTCTTACTAGATCACATGAGTCACGTTTACCACTGTTGCCTGTCCTCATATTACCCTGACTGTTGGGAGGATGTTAATCCACCTCCCCCACCCCACCCCACCCCAAAACCCCCAAATCATGTCTAACATGGCAGGGTTTGCCATCATCAAATACCATTCATTGGTGTGACAAAAAAGGGTCACCTTTCATACTGTAGGAAAATTGTATACTGGTTGTCAGATTACTACAATGTATGAGCTTTATATATCCAACGTAATGTTCAATTTCCAGTCTGATAAAAACAGCTCAATAACTAGAGGTTATTATATAGCCCTATACTCCCAAATCAGCCTGAGGTGGGGTTTTTCAAAAAAGTTTTGAAACGATTGTTAAACGGATATGGTGCGTGTCGGGCAGATATGATGTCTCCATGGTGCAAGTGGATATGGGTTTGTCCAGGATATGGCATGCAAAGCTAGCATTATCACACATGCAAAACAACCCATATCACAAACAAGTATATGACAGTTGAAGCTTGGTTATTGGTTTTATAAAATGTTAACTTTTCAGGCTGGCCTGAAATCATTAATTGCTGCAGGACTTTCAGTAGTATCTATAACAGACATCACTCCTCTACCATTCAATGGCAACAGACCGCCAAAGAAAAGATCCTTGTAGTAAAGTACAGGTAAGGAAGACTTGTTAAATGTAGTAGCTGTTGTTTGTGATTTGTGTCGACATTAATCACCCTTAGTTCACATATTCAGGTACACTCTAGGTCTACAAATGTGTGTGTTAATAAAAATAAATAATGTGGGTGATAAAATAGTCATCGCAAAAACATCTGTCATCTTACAATGATTCAAGTAACCTCACAAACAGTCTAATTACCATGTAACATCAAAACTAGGAGTTACCTCACAATTCATGTCCTCTCACAGACCTACCACATCAGAATATTTCAGAACTCTAAACTGTATATCTAGTTTATATTGATAGACATGATAGTTGAGTTTGTACTAAGTCTCAATACATGTATAAGCGACGATAATTTTAACTTAATATCAGATCATCGATTATAATCAGTAATACCAGTGTATATTTATAGAATTTAAAGTAGACTTGCATCTCTAGGAAATCATGATTATTTGTTTGTCTTTACTTAACTTTAACTCTTTTTAACATACAGTTGTTTTATAGATGTTTTTTTGGTTAATATGTAGTAACAATTTAATTATTTGTACAATTTTGTGTCATCAGACATAAAAAATTGAAAACTTTTCCAATATATAATAATCTCAGAAAAAGTCACTAAATCCACTAATGAATACAATAAAACATCATTTCTGATGCATAAAATTGATTTGTGATTGAGCTTTCAATTTTGAATTTGATCATCTGATTTGATAAAAAGACCTGACTTATTGTTGATTATAACATATTAAGTAACTGATTGTAAAGAAGATATTGAATGTATAACGTAGCTGTTATGGTTTCAGGTCATGCCAAAAGCTGCATCGTCATATCAACAAAATGTACATCCAAGGTAGATGTATTGGTCAGACAGCTAGCAGCAGGAAAACAGCAGTGTACAGCTATAACACTTCATGGAACAATAAATAGTTCAATTTCAGTAACCATTTCCTATCTTGTAATTATGGTACGTAATAAACTGAATGTTACAATCAAACATAAAGCTCAAGTGTTTAAATTTATAAAATACCTGTACACATTTGGTGTCTTGGTTAGCTTTCTTTGTCACAAATGTATTGTTGAATTAAAAATGAATAGGATTGAGAACAAAAGTCTGATGTAGTGGTAGGAACTAGTTTAGTAGAGTTGACGGCTGTGGATACGTGACAGCTGTCAATATTTTGGTGTATTCTCTATAACTCCTTTTAAAAGCAATTAAAATAAACACGAGTGGGTATTTGAGTCTTAACACAGATGTGTGATTTTATTGCTGACATGATTCAACTATCTAGGATAGCTGTTATTAGAAAGATACATGGAAATTACAACATTGGATCGAGTCTAGTATTGTCAATGACATCAGAGGTGTATAAGGGAGGGGGCATATACATGGATGGTTAATAAATTTAAATTTGTAAATAATAAATAGGTAAAAACACCACTTTATGTAGCTGGCAGTGTACCACTTTATGTAGCTGGCACAATAAATGTCACAATAAATGTCTTGTAATTATTATAGATACTGCTGCGCCATTGATAACAATTTCTGTACTTAATTTTGATCACAGTGGTAATAAAGAAGTTGATCTTCTCAAAGCTGATTTCAAAGTCAACTCAATGTTTAATTGAAGCCATTAGTGAACTTGTGAAGATTGTTGTGGCTATGGCTCCCCACAAAGGAATGGTATCAGTGTAACGTAATCACATAAGCTCATGTAAGCAAGGATTTCCTTTCAAGGATGGTTACAAGATTGTGAATTGTAACCGTAAATGGATGTCTTCCCAGCTCATCAGAAAGGAGACATTGGAGGCTGGGATTTTAGGTTGAATCTATCTTAAATTCATAATTAAATTCACATTAAATTCACGTTAAATTCAATTCAACAGCCAATGGCGCGATATACTAAACTGCCTACAATGGGATGACACATTGAACAGTATCCCATGTAGCGATATATTAAACAATGTCCTAAGGGATGACATGTTGAACAGTATCCCATGGAGCGATATATTGAACAATGTCCTAAGGGATGACATGTTGAACAGTAACCCATGGAGTGATAAATTGAACAATGTCCTAAGGGATGACATGTTGAACATTAACCCATGGAGAGATATAATGAACAATGTCCTATTGGATGACATGTTGAACAGTAACCAATAGAGCGATATATTGAACAATGTCCTAAGGGATGACATGTTGAACAGTATCCCATGGAGCAATATATTGAACAATGTCCTAAGGGATGACATGTTGAACAGCAACCCATGGAGCGATATATTGAGCAATGTCCTATTGGATGACATGTTGAACAGTAACCCATGGAGCGATATATTGAACAATGTCCTAAAGGATGACATGTTGAACAGTAACCCATTGAGCGATATATTAAACAATGTCCTAAGGGATGACATGTTGAACAGCAACCCATGGAGCGATATATTGAACAATGTCCTATTGGATGACATGTTGAACAGTAACCCATGGAGCGATATATATTGAGCAATGTCCTATTGGATGACATGTTGAACAGTATCCCATGAAGCGATATATTGAACAATGTCCTATGGGAATTATTTGTGTTTAAGAGTGTTCTATTAGGTGATACATGTATGTTGTACAAAACAACAAAGATGGCAACTGTATAACTGACAATTTTATTTGTACAGGTATTACAACAGTTACTTTCACAGCCATTTATATTGGATCAAAGAGTCTTTTACAAATACAAGATGTAAATGAAAAGTAATATTCCTAATACATACCGTACATGAATCATAACCGTATACATACATAGATGTATCAGACCATTCATCAGAAAAATTACTGTAGTTCAATTTACTCTACAATCTGACAATAGATTTAGATTCAATACACAATCATAAAATTTATAGAATAAACAACAGCATTGTTTTGTTTTTATAAAGATATAAAAAGTGTAGTTGAAAATATGATTTTTATAATTTCATCAGTTTTGTAATTATATAATATCACATGGTACATTTCCTAGCCTATTCAAATAAAAAATAATTTGAATGTCACTTAAGCAGTGATTGATTTAACATAGTAAGATTGCACAAAGTGCCAGATAGACCAAACTTGAACTGATGATGTCTATTGCAATTGTCTTTTATAGAATATCTTCTAAGTGATTGCATGTATAAGTCAGAACTTTTCTTATATACTGTTTTTTTGCAAGTTCTCATGTCTCCTCATTTCTGATTTATATGTAATTGCTGATACAAAATGTAGATATTCTTACCTCTGTATACCGCAATATAAAAAAAAACATATACCGGTAATTTGTTGTAGCCAATTTCTTTTGTAAATTTTCCATGATTTGTACAGAATTAGGCAATTTAAAATCTAATGATCTAGCTATCAAATGCCAGAGGTTTTGATTTTGAAGACAAAGTTACATACACCCAAGTAGCTACTGTGTATCTAGGAATCCATCATTAACATCTTTGGAGATCTAACTAAAGATTTGTAAAATTCCAAAATTACTTTCCAATAAATGACTGGCTATATTGGATGGCTATTTTTTCTGTTTAGAATGAAATTAATTTACATGTAAATGCATAGATAAGCAATTTCATGAAAAATTGTTAGAAAAAGAATTATGATTTTAAACAGTTTAAAATGTACATTCTTGTATTAGCATAATATTTGTGAAAGTATTGAATGTCAAAACTTGTGGTTTAAACAAACTGTTCAAAAGACAAATCTAATAAACCTATTTAATACATATGTGATTCCATGTATATTTGCACAATAAATATAAATGTTACTGTTAAAAATATACATAAAAAATGGCTACAAAAAAATAAAATACCTATAGCTACGTACCTTTAAAAAATTATGTGAATTTTTGTACCATGTACAAATGTTAACACAAAACAACCCTTCCATCCACAAGAAAAAAATATTAAAATAAATGATTGCATCATCATATTTGTACAGAATCAATATCGATATATCTTAGACATTGAAAATATTTTCACAATACATTTACAACTGGACGGAATAAAGCAAGTAACAAATGGAATAAAGTTATCACAATCAGAGGTTAGAGGTCAACAGTCATGTTAGAGGTCACACACAGATTTAACAAGGTTATTGATTCACCAAACATGTACAAATTACTACCACTTGGTTAAACCTCCATTGTCACCCTCAGAACATTTACAGTATTGTCCAAGTGTCTAAGAGGGGTGTATGACAGTACTGTCTTATCTCTGCATGTTTGTCTTGAAGACAGTATTGGCCACATTTTTAAGGGAGCTGACATGTCCAATAGTATTGTCCAAATCACTGATAGAATTGTTAATCAATATTGCTTAAGAATAATTAAAACAGCTATTAGACAATATTGTCCAAGTCTCTAAGATGGCTGAAAGACAGTGCTGTCCACAGTTCTGAGATGGCTGTTGTTACACACTAGTTCCTATGAGTGCTGGTTGATCATTGTTCCAGTCCCTCCTGGTAGCTAGACCACTGTCTGAGAATGTTAAGCTGGATGGATACTGAACATGAATAGAACATCAGCAGCATGTTATTCCACAAGGAAGACACAATGTTACAGGTCCATGGGTTCCTGATCTTTGGTTGTTTGCTGCAATTGCTGTGGCTCAAATATGGCATTATTCAACAGGACGGAGGCAAGTGGGTTGGGAGCTTCTGGCGCCGTCATATTCGTAGGAAGGCGAGTTGCCCTTGCTGTGAGAAGTACAGTCTCTGTGATTGCCTGGCAAGTAGAACAAACAATATATCATCACTAAAGGTTATACAACATGAAAACTTGCATGGAAAACATCAACTTATTACAGTTACTGCATGCACAGTTATTAGTTTCATTAATCTATGATCATTTTAATCATTTTCGGAACAAAAGGATTTGGAGTGATGGAAGTTAAACATCAAGAAAATTAAGTAAGCTGCTCAAAAAGGTGTGATTTAAATTAAATTTTGATTTTATGACAAAGTTTAAACTAATGAGAACTCCATCTGTAACCTACTTTAAGTCTCCTCTTAGCATTGAATTCTTTGATTTTCTTGTGAGTCTCTGCCATGTGCTCTCCCTTGGCTGCTGTCCCTTTTGTCCAGGGGTGATTCAAAGCTTGAACCTCTGTTATCCTTTTACTGGGGTCTTTCTGAAGCATCTTTGAGATGAAATCCTATTAAAACAAGATTACAAAATTTTAGCATCCCCATGTTTTCCACATATGAAATAAAAAATAGAAGAAACTTTACTTAATGACAATATTTTAATTACTATTCGGAAAATATAAACCTTATGGTTATTTTAAATCAAATCCCTTCGGGGTTTTCTACAAGTCACCAGTGAAATCAAATTCAAAATATGTGTTCTAAAAAGATAAAACACGAAAAAGATATTTTTGATCCATCCCGGGTTCCCAAATACTAACTAAAATGAGGAGTGTACATGTACTATACCTTAGCATTGTCACTAATGTCATCCCACCACGGAGAATCAAATTTATAGTCAGCTTTAAGTATCCTGGTATAGAACTTCTGTTGGTTACTGTCATAGAAGGGTTCATATCCACACAACCTGTCAATCAATCATAGCATTAAAATATGTACAGCATTAAGAACATCAAACTACCATATACTTATTAACAATATACAAATTATTTAACTAGCTACCATAATATTATGTAAACATTTAACTACTTTCAAAACATGTAAATTCTTCAAATAGAAAACTTTTTATCTACCAAAACTAAATGTTTATGTTAATGTTATCAAAATGTTTAGCTATAACTGTATCAAAAGGTTTTATAATGTTACACAATTGTACTATAACACACAAAGTGTTTAACTAATTGTACCTTATAAATTCTGTTACACATGCAAGCGTTCTATGACATAGAAAATATAACATACAAAATGTAGCAAATCACTCCACAGCTCCACATGTCCACCGACTTGTTGTAGGACCTTCCACACAACACCTCTGGAGCTGTAACAAGTACAGATATCTGATATGTTAGTGACAAAGATCTGGGGAGCTGTGACATGTACAGATATCTGATATGTCAGTGACAAAGTTCTGAGGAGCTGTAACATGTACCGATAACTAATATGTTAATGACAAAGATCTGAGGAGCTGTAACATGGACAGGTATCTGATGTGTTAGTGACAAAGATCTGAGGAGCTGTAACATGTACAGATATCTGATATGTTAGTGACAAAGATCTGAGGAACTGTAACATGTCCAGATATCTGATGTGTTAGTGACAAAGATCTGAGGAGCTGTAACATGTACCGATAACTAATATGTTAATGACAAAGATCTGAGGAGCTGTGACATGTACAGATATCTGATATGTCAGTGACAAAGATCTGAGGAGCTGTAACATGTACCGATAACTAATATGTTAATGACAAAGATCTGAGGAGCTGTGACATGTACAGATATCTGATATGTCAGTGACAAAGTTCTGAGGAGCTGTAACATGTACCGATAACTAATATGTTAATGACAAAGATCTGAGGAGCCGTAACATGTACAGGTATCTGATATGTTAGTGACAAAGATCTGAGGAACTGTAACGTGTCCAGATATCTGATGTGTTAGTGACAAAGATCTGAGGAGCTGTGACAAGTACAGATATCTGATATGTTAGTGACAAAGATCCGAGGAGCTGTAACATGTACAGATATCTGATATGTTAATGACAAAGATCTGAGGAGCTGTGACATGTACAGATATCTGATATGTTAGTGACAAAGATCTGAGAAGCTGTAACATGTACAGGTATCTGATATGTTAATGACAAAGATCTGAGGAGCTGTGACATGTA